ATAACATATATTTTTTACAATTTTAAATTGAGTTTAGGAGCGTGCTGTTGTTACAGAAGTCGCTCCCTCAATTTTAACACCTAACTTTTAGGTTCATTTTACACACTTATCCCCACCCTTGCATACGCTTTGTTCCTTTTTTACCCACTGATCACGAGATTGCTCATCAGTGGAGTGGGAACCCATTGTCATCAGATCCCATACATCAACACCAAGGGAAGCCACAAAGGTTGCTAGTGAAACTACTGATTACTATATTTAATACTATACAAACACAGTGAATCATTTAAACTTTGCTTTCATTCCATATTTTAGGCTTGACTTTTTAAGCTACCAACTTTTAAGTGCATCAAATTTTTTTGTCAATTACAAAAAATGTTCCGATGCTTTCATTTGTGTTGTTTTTGTCTTCATGCAGGCCATATTATATTTGATTGGCACTAAGCTCTGTAAGACCAGAACAAGTCAAAATACTAGAAAATGAAATAATAATGGAATAATAAATCCCTCACTAAACTCCTGTGAGTAACCAGGACAGAATTTTTCTTCACAACATCAAGCAGACAAGTGATGACATTAAAGAAAATTATAATTCAATGAATACCTTTGCTTGCCCAAAGATAAACCCCAAGTGATATTCCCCAATTTTCAAACCTTATGTCCAACACTGAAAAACCTGTGCTTAAAATTTAATTCAAGATGAGAGACGTTGTGGGATTGTTACATGGTTTTTTTGTAACTTCACAAAATCTTATTAGAGGACACTGAAAAGTGAACATCCCATGTCGTAAACAGTAAGCTGTTTGTAAACATTTTTCCCAAGCATTGAAAAATATCTGAAGGATACTACACACAATAGCCTCAATTTGCTGCGAAAATATGCTCATATATTTGTCCTTGGACATTATCTGTTCCTTGAAGCTCACAGATTTCCCTGACCTTCATTCTCACAAAACCTTCTGACATATCAGAACAGATAATGTCCATGGATACTTTTGTGCCAAATGGAGGCTTTTGTTTATATATCAATTAGGGATTATTTGCTGATCCAATACCAAAATTCTCCAAATTCACATTATAAGAATTGTATAGCAGACAGTAAGGAGAATTACAAATAAGATCATGGGTTAAACAATCAAATGAGATGTATGAACTATTATACCAAAAGCTCAATGACCTTTGCTTACATATTTTACTCCTTACCTTAATAGCACCCAGAGCCCAAAGAGAATGGTTTTCCATGAGCTTGCATGCACAGAGCCGCAAGGTCATGTGATAATAAGACTTATCAGGTAGAAGTTGTTTTCTTGATCCAACACCAAATTCTTCTAACTAATTTACAAGGAAATGTGGAGCAACTAGAGAAGAGAATTTACAATCAGTTAGGCAAGTTAAGGTTCACGGTTCATTTATTTCACACTATTTACATAAAATTAACATAGATATAAAAAAGCTTAATTGCAACAAATGATTACAGAATAAGATAAAGTACAGATTATAAAAATGTGTGAAGGCTTTCTAGTTGGCCACCACCTACTTTTAGATAAACAAAGAAATGGCACTGACTTTTATTGGTATATAGTAAAAAATGTTGAAAGTCTTTGTAGCGCTGAGGATGGATGTGCAAGAGAGAATTATGTGTATATAATGTAACGTATGTTAGAGATATACTGAACCAAGCAAGAAATCTCTACAGGAGAAGCTTAATAAGAGAAAAACAGACACATACAGACAGACAGACAAACAAACAACAGCGACAATGAACAAAAGCTCAAACAGAGACAAAGGAGAGGAAAAGAACAACACATCATCAGCAACAACAGCAGCAGCAGTGGCAACAAAGACTGAAATATAAGCAGACAATTATTATTATTATTATTAACTCTGTTATTATCATGATAGTTATTTACATATGGGTAGTTACATACTATATATTTGATCACTGGACAGATCATATATTACTTGATTGACAAAAGATCGAGTGGGCCATATAAAGTTTCTTAAACCTGTTAAATATTTTTATTTTTTTCAATGCCAAGGGGACAGTTTTCCATATAACAGAAGCAGAGTACTTAAAAGTAAATTTGCCTAGGTTAGATCTGACTTGTGGTCGGTGGAAATGAAGCTTTGTGGATTCTTTGGTGCTATAGGAGTGGACAGCTGTTATAGGTCGGTATTAAAAATTGTATGGAAAATTGCTGGAACAGTTGTTGGATTGTTATTTAATTAAGATAAGAGTAAATAAGTGCATAATACAGTCGTCTTAGCATCTTTAAATTTAAGTAATTCCACAGTTGGTAGAAGATTCCAAGGTTTTTACTCAGTTTACTTTGTACATGTGCTATTTGAGTTTTCCAATTCAAATGCTCATCTAAATAAATGCCTAAATATTTGATACTAGCTTTGCGATCACTGTTTGAAATATTAATATTTTGTATAGTTGGCTTCTGTGGAGATGTTATTACCATAAAATNCTCTAGTGCAGGAGAACTCCACGAGATGGTTCAGGCAACGTTTCCAGATCAGAAGTAGTGTTAGTTGCTCGAAGCTCTTGTGATACTAGACTTATCAAATTGGTAGCAGCTTGGGAGAGCAAACGTGTAACATCCGCGATCCCTCTCCTGTCGGCCATATTGCAAGGAAAAGGACGTGAAAAGAACTCTGGGATATATTTATAATCCCGCAAGTTATGTTGGGATATAATTAAAAACATGCCCCATAAAAAAAAGGCTGAATAATTTTCAAAATGGGCTGAATAATATTGTGTCAAGCATGGTTAATTTGTAAAAGTAGGTGGTTAATGAAAAAAAGGCTGAATAATTTTTGAAATGGGCTAAATAATATTGTGACAAGTATGGTTAATTCATAAAAGTAAGTGGTTAATGAAAAAGAGGCTGAATAATTTTAAAAATATAATTTTGGCGGTAATGGCACCCCATAATCAGCCATCACACTATTATTAGGCTCCAAAAGATCTAAAATTCCAGAACACTCTGTGATCTCTTTATCTGAAATAGAACCAGTATATACTGAGGATACAAGTAAACAAACTTATTTTTTCTCACCTTCAGTCAGAAATGTTGTATTCGCTACCATTCTGGAAGCTACATTGACCCGACTATCATCGCCTAACAACATCAACTTAAAAAATAGACAAAACCGGCGTTGAAAGGGAGTTTAAAAAAAATGATATGACATACCAGTTGGCAAAGTGCGGATTAAACAAACGCAAAAACACAAGCAAATATGGAGCTTTCTGACACATCAAATACATCAGTAGGTCTGCAACTATTACAGTCGCTCTTTTTGAGAGTTCTCAGTGGATAAAGATCGTTTTGTTCCGAAACAAAGAAGCAAGTAGAGCAAATAATTCCGTCACTCCCCTTTCATCGTCTCACGATGCAGCCATTGTTTCCCGTAGCAACCGATTTGTTTGCCCTCCAACATGGCGGAAAAGATCATGTGACTTCTTAGTGCAAGGAGCCTATTGCACTAGCAAGATCAGGGCCAATCGTAGTGAATTACTGATTAAATTGGTTAGCAATGTCGAGTTCATTAGTGTAGACCTTACTATTTCTTATGATCCTAGAAGGATAATTTGATTCAACTTTGGTTTTCCTGTTAATGATTGCACCTATAAGCTTCCATGTTTCTTTCAGATTTTCTTTGTACAGCTGAAAATGTTTCTTATAATATTTATCTTTGGCTTTGGCATTTATTTTGTTAAGAAGATTGGAGTATTGTTTGAACTCTTTTATCTTCCTTGAGTTCTTGCTGTGATTTATACATCCTTTGTTTCCTTTTAATTGATTTTAAAAGCCCTTGTGTTAACCAAGGTTTGTTGAAGTGTTTCATTTTAGAATTGGTTACTTTTTTTAAAGGGCCATGCTTATTGACAATATATTTCACTTTGTTAATACATGCATTAGTTATCTCATGAAGATCAGTGGAGGTGGAATATAAACCTGGCCAGTTAATTTGGCAGAGGTCAGCTAAATATTGCTCTTTGCAAAAACTACTGTAATCTCTATAATATGTTATTTGCTTGTTTT